TTCCCTAACTTAGTACCTGTACTATTTAATTTATTTTACAGTAGCGCAGAGGAGGAGGAAGAAGCAGGAGTGACCTGGAGAAGTTTGCAGATGACAGTCAGCCGCGTTGGTTAGCAAAGTTATGGAGAATTGGAAGATGCTCAAGGAGAATTTCAAATGCAGTATACATCAGAATGAGCACACATCAGGATGGCTGACACAGCACAACATGCACACGTATAAGGAAACACACGCTAGCCAAACTAATCTAAACAGTTTACACAAGGGACCCACCAAAAACTAGGGCTGGAGGGAACTGGAAGTCCAATCCCTTCCTCAAGCAAGATCATCTTTGCCTAAATCATTCCAGACAAATTTTTGCCTAAACTGCAGACAAAAATCTTCCAGTGAAAAATGCACAGGACAAAAGACGCTGGAGTCCTGAACTAACATGATGAAGTCTGTTCAAGAAAGATCTCTCCCTACAATGCATCAGCAGTGGAAAAAAAAAAAACCCGAACAAGTCAGCTGTATTCACATATTAAAGAATCACATCAAAGCCAGCAGAAGTCAAGGGGGCTGGATCAGCTTAAAAAAAAAGAGAGAGAGATAGGAAATAAGACAAATACTGTGCTGATGGGAAAAGAGTGTATTAGTAGTAACCAGGTTACTCTTAAACCTTTGTACAAGCATTTCAACTTGTTTCCATTCATTACACTGTCCCTTCCCCCCAATTCACCATCAGTGATTGATTCATTTTTTGTTTCAGGATTTCCTTTTTGAGCAGGAAGCCTCCGAGCTTCACTGAATAACTGTCTGTCTCTTCCTCATCACCAGAATTATCTCTTTTTCCTCCCCCATACGTAACAGATGGCACTTGAAAAGTTCAGTGACTGGCAAGTTTCAAACCCTCACCTTTCAACACCAAAATGCAGACCTCATTAGCAGGCAACCATCGATCCGTCTGGATCGCAGTGTGCGTATGAGAGGTTACCGGGACTTTCAAGACATACACCTAGGCAGGAGTATGAGCGTCACCCTTAAAGCAGAGCTTTTTTGGTTTTGGAAAAATCCCATGCTCTCATCGTTACCTGGACCAGCCGCTAGAGGGATACATGGACTCATGCACTCGATCAGCCTGGTGCAGAAACTAAAGAGCAAACTGGAAGAAAATCCGGGCTGAGTGCTTCCTCTGCAACAATCAACATTAAACTGAGCACGCAATCCTTGCAAGGGCCCCATGCAGAAAGACAAGGCACGGCCATCCCTCCGCTGAATACAACACAGCTTGGTGGCCCTCCCCTGGAGATTCATAGACATTCGTGGGGTGGAAGGGACCTCACGAGATCGTCATGTCCAGTTCCCCTGCACTTGGGCAGGAAAGACTGCTGGGGTCAGATGACCCAAGCAAGGTGGGCACCAAGTCACTTTTTAAAGATCTCCAGGGTAGGCGACTGAACCACCTGCAGGGTGGGGGGCGTCTGTTCCAGACTGGAGGCATTCGAATGGTAAAGAAGTTTCTCCTTATGTCCAATCTGAAGTGATCTTCAAGCAGTTTGGTTCTTGTCTTCCCCTGGGGGGCCTTGATGAACAGATGCTCCCCCCGGCCCTGATACATGCCCCTTATGTACTTATAGGTTGCCACCAAGTCCCTTCTGAATCATCAGGTTTAGATCTGTCCACTTTGCAAGCCTCTCCACATCAGCCCATATCCCTCAGCCTGTCCTCAAGCATGACCGCAGTCCCCCATAACTTGCCGTCATCCACGCACTCATCATATTTTCCCATCCCATGAGAAAACTTTTAAAGCTCAAGTTTCACCTTGGGACGAACCCACGACCTTCAAAGCTTTGCATGAAAAGCAAACAAGGAGAAACCTTCTACCTACTGCTTAATGTCCATTGGTTTGTAGGCTAGGGCATTCACCTGGGATGTGGGAGACTAAGGGTTCAGTACTTACACAACCTGATTCACACAAGAGATGTGGATCTTGGTTTCCTGGCCCCCAAGGTGGTGTCTCGACGGGGGGAGGGTTAGTGGCCATTTTAGGGGGAGTCTCAAACTCCTACTGAAGCCTTTCCATTTGGTATAATCAATGAAATATCCATGGGGCTCGAGCTGAATCTTACTGTGGAGAGTGCCATAAAACCCAACAATTGACCCTTCTGGGGCGGGCGTGACGCTCGCTCTTTCTTTTGCAAGCAAAAACTCCATTATTGCAGAAACTGGCACGAACTGCCAAAATGAGGCACTGGGAAATCCCTGACCAGCCTTAGAGCTGTGTGCCACCAGTTAAGGGAGGGTAGGGGGATTCAGCCAAGGCACCCATTGGTGTCTGCCACCATTTTCTAATGTAGCCACATGGCTCTGGGTGGCACCCACCCTTTCAGTGGCAATTAGTTATGGCAAAAAACAAAACAGCTCAATGAATCTAATCCTGCAAAATCTTTCTTATACTAGTTGCCTGCGTTTGTGAGAGTAGCACACACGTAAGCAATGGGTTCCTATACACATCATTTCAGCGTGTTGGAGCAGACTCGATTAAATCGAGTGGGGTGTGGGAGACTAAGGGTTAAGCACTTAAATTAATCGAGTCTGCTGGAGCATAGTCATTACCGCACTTCAGCTGACTCCCGTGTCATGTGTATTAGCATCCCTGCACTGAAAAAATGGCAGCGGGCCACTTTAAACTAAAGCTGGTATGATGAGCGTCAGTTCAAAGCACGTTTTTCAGCATGGGGACGCTGATACACGACACGCCAGTGCTTTTCATTAGCGTTGCGCTCATTGAAGCAGTCCCCGACAGCTCCCGGAGCACGTCTATAAACACCCGATGGTTTGTAGAACTGGGCCTTTGATTTGAGTAGCATCTCTGATGAAAGCCTTAGCCCAAAACACTTGACAGGCTTGCGGCTGGATTCAAAGCCATGTGAAGTCAATGGAAATCTTTCCATTCATTTCAAAAGGGAGTTTGGATCACGCCCTTTGACAATAATTAATGGCTAAGTGAAAGATGAATTAAAAAGGACCAGAAAAGAGGAGGGAAAGTTAGCATAAGAAGACTGTCCCACCGAGCAGGACCTGCAGAGGAAAATCAAACAAGGCAAATGTCATGGCTAAAGTTGTACGCAGTTTCTACAGTAAAAAACAATAGATCTTAAAAATGGGAGGGTTTTTTTTTTTCTTCTTTTTTTGCAAAATTAAAAACTGATTTTTACAAACTTTTCACCAAGAAATGAGGCTATTTTCACAGGATTGTGAGAAGAAAATAGACAAATGGGGCACACATTTGAACAAGACTAGGCCACTTCCAGGGCCACGTCAATTAGCAACACAAACAGATAAAAAACTGAACATTTGTGCCTATTTTCCCATGCAAAAATTGCCATTTCACAAAATTAAATGAACACATCTCAAGCACCATACTGCCTGGAACAAAATTGTGAACATATTGGAAAACGGAAACCCTTTTTTTGGTCACAAATGTAACAATACCTCCCCCCAAATATTTGGCAAAGGTCTCCAAACTCACGTCTCTACTCACTCCCACAAATAACAAAAGCCGAGCAGGTAGCGACAGGAAATTTAATGTTACTTAAGCATTTCAGTTCTCAACTCCCAGTTTCTCAAATATTCATTTATTGGGCTGAAACATCCCAGCCCTTGTCGGTTTAAAAGTAAACCTTAGCAATAAACAGATTGGCAAAATTAAAGCAAAACAGTTGGGACCATCTTGAAAATAATATGGGTTGGGGGCGATCAAACTTTCACCATTCTAAAAATGCTCATAAGTTGGGTGGTTTTTTTTTTTTTCAAGTCATAGAAATAAACCAGCTTGAGGTGGAAATACAGAACATTCAACTTTTACCATGCAGATTTGTTCCAAGTTGGCCACGTTTTCTATTGTGGAGTTTGAAAGTTATTTTCAAACAGATGCAGCAGCAGTCGTGGGTGTCCTCACGGTCTGAAGAAATAGGACATGGTCTAACCAGCTCCTCTCCCAAAGGCTGCACAGTTAAGGACTTAGGACCAAGAAGGGAAGTGTTAAGGTCGCCCACACCATCTTAACCCTCTCTCTTGATAAGCACTTAGCCCACCAGGTGTGTGGCTGAAGCACAGCATTACCTACCCTCACTTTCATCTAGCTTCCTCTGGTAACAATTATACTGAAAATGTGGCAACGTGAACATCAGCATTTTCTGCACAACCCCCCTGGGGATCCTGTGTACTTATCTGGGCAGCTAGGCTACTGTGAAATCCCAGCACTGGTTAGGCCCCATCTAGAGCGTGGTGTTCAGTTTTAGGCTCCACATTTCAAAACGGACATAGAGATGTTAGAGAGGAGCCAGAGGCAGATCCAGAAATGATGAAGGGCTTGAAAGGCAAATCCTGCGAGTAGAGGTTGAAGGAACGTGGCATGGTCAGCTTGTGGAAGAGGTGCTGAAGAATGGACATGAAGGTGGCCTTCAAATACTTCTTTGCCTGCATGAAGGTGGTCTTCAATTCTTCTTTGGCTGCATGAAAGTGATCTTCAAATACTTCTTTGGCTGCAGAGTAGGACACAGATCAATGGCTTGAAGTTGCAATGAAGTAGGTTTAGACTGGATATCAGGAAAAACTTCTCTAATGTTAAAACAATGGGGCAGTGGGATAGACTACTTAGGGGAGCTGTGGACTCCATTGCGGGAGGTGTTCGAGAAGAGGTTGGACAGCCACCGGTCAGGGATGATCTAGGTGTAGATACACTTAGGTCCTTCTGTGGGTATTTCCCATGTTTCTCAGCTTTGCCGGTTGTCACATGGGGTGGGGAAGGAGGTTTTTTTCCTCCCTTGCTGCTACATATATTAGGGTTGGGAGGGGGTGGAGGGGTTCAAGCCTCTCTCAGAGGCGTTAAGTGTTGGCTGGAGCCAAGGCTGAGGACTTTGACTGGGCTGTGCCAATGCTCCTGCTGGGACTTCCCTTCCATATGATGTGATATGATATGATCTTGTGAATCATATGTAGGTGTTTGCGTATCTAATAGTGCTAATACAGCATGGCACCCTGTGTCACTCTTAAAAGGACCTCATGGTACCCTGGTTGAGAATCGCTGCTCTAAGGGACGTTCCACCAATGAGTTTCAATGAATTTACTTCCTCTCTCATTTCAGTCTTTGAACCTCAAGCAATCCAGATTTATGCTTCCAGCTTTATGTCTCCTGGCCCAAACAAAGTTGGCTACAGACTCATTATGATCTTTTTAATTGCGGAATCACATCCTGCGAAAAGAGCACGGTGACCTTAAAGAGCATACTACATGTTATACAGCACACCAAATTGTAGAACAAATTGGCTGATATATTTAGCCCATCTAAATTAACACTGACGTTAGCTCCGTGGTCAGATGGTATTCCCTGAACTATTCCCAAGGCAGGGTGCAATCTCCATCTGAGTGCAGTGAAGGTACCTGTACTCGTGAAGTCCCATGCTTATTAGCACAATACAAAATATATCATCACAGATTTAAACCATGAGCCACGATGCACCTGCACCAGAGGGGCAAAGTTAAAAATGTGAAGGAAACATAATTTGGGCACATCCTAATTAATGAAGGCTTATTGAGCCACCTTGATGTCCCATTTAAAAAATAAATCTACAGATACAATCAACAAATCCTCCCTCGAGCTTTTTCAATCCTGGCAGTTAAGGAAAACTTTCCATGCTGTAGCCTTGAAATGCCTTAGCAGGGTTAACACCCTGAGCTGCCAGGACTTGCAAGGCAGTCTCTGTTCCTTTGGAAAAGACACGCGGCTCTGAGGTTAGGCTCCTTCCAAGTCCTTCAGCCGCAGCTGAAGGCACAGATGGGGCAAAGCAAGCAAGGACACAGAATCTGCCTACACGGCTTGTGAGAGAGCATGTGATTTGGGCTCTGCTGCCTCCCAATCCCCTCAGCCTTATCGGCAGAACTAGTCATCCCTGCCAAGCCTGAGCATGACTCACCGGGGCCAGAGGCTGCAGCACTAGCTCAGCCCTTCTCCAGTCCCTGAGCGAAGGCAGAGCAGGAGGCCGATCCAGAAAGGTGACCAAAACCTCACAGCTTGAGACACCCCAAGGGGATTTGCAGAGCGGTGAGCTGGATGGGGGCCGTGCTGTGAGCACTCCCTGCAGTATCCTCCCGAGCACTGAGAGCATGAGACTGCTTAACCGCTGCAAGAGCCAGGGTTGCTTTGGGATCTATAACTCTCACTTGCACAGAGGCCACTGGAGACCCTTGAATAAATCAAGGTCATTGCTAATTGTTCTTGCTAGCTTAGACCTGCAGCATAATCTATGCCTTCCTCTGCCCCAGGTAAACCTCACCCCCAGGAGGAGGGCTCCCATTTCGGA